ACTTCTTTTGGTTCAGATCTGATTTGGTTCTTGATTCAAGATTGATCCTTGAAAATATGTTTTCTGAAATAGGGAATTCGATTCCCTGCAAAGATGGGAGAAATTTTTGAAATTCGCCCTATCCATTCCGCAAGATTTGGGCGTCCATGAGATGGATATCTCATCCCTTCACCTCCTTCCTCACTTCCCCCTCCCTCATTCCCTGCTCCTCTCTCCCCTTCCTTCTTTTCCTCTAAATCATTCTCCCCTTCCCTCCCTCTATCCCTTCTCACCTCTTCCTCTTCTCTTATTTCCTCTGCCCCTACGACCCCAAACATCACAGCTCCTTGACTACTCTCCCCCTCTTCCCCAATTGCACCTCCATCTCCTTCCCTCACATCCCTCATTCCCTCCATTACAGCATAAAAGCGCTAGCTTCAAAAGTGTCTCTAGGACCTGTAACAAGATTTCTCCAGCTATCTAGGGTTTTCGGGAAAAATCTCCAAGAACCTGCATTGGGCTTTAACTAAGGATGAAATTTTCCACAAAAACACTCCAAAAACCCTCCTAACCAGGCTACATAAGTTACTGATTGATCAGCCAATCAATTTTCCATACACACTGTGTATGGGCTAAGAAAGGAGAAAGATGTTGAAGGTGAGAACCTACTCTGGTACCAAGTTCTGAAACACACTTGCAAGTTGCAATAATTCAGAAAAAGAAAAGAAAAGGAAGAAGAAAGAAAGGTTTCGGCAGAGGCTTGTGGAAGAAGAAGAGAAGAGAAGAGTTCGATCCCTTCTCTCTAGCCCCCCAAGATGTCTTTTATTCTCTTAATTCTAAACTGAGTACAATTCCCTGGATGCCCTTAATGGGGCAGCCAGCACTAAAGAAATAATGGAACAAAATAAAAGAGGCCCATAACTAAAGGAACATAAACTTAAAACATAACTTAAAAGAAATAAAGAAACTAAGGCCCATTCTCACTAAAAGTCTACACCAATGTTTGATTGACTAGGATCTATCAATAATGGAAGATCCACATTTGGCTATTGTACCTTTGTAGGAGCCTAGGAGGTAACCTTGTTTCATGGAGAAGTAAGAAGCAATCTGTATTCTAGCACAAGGCCGAATATACAACAATAGCTCACAGAGTATCAGAGTTATTGTGGCTAAAAACAATGTTTTAAAGCCCAGACCAGACCAGATGATCAAACCATTAGACCTAGGAACCGAAAAGCTATTCCGATTTTTTAGAACCTTGAGTTTCAAATTTTTGGAAAACTGATAAAACCAGTCAAAACGCGGCATAACTGTTGAAAAACGACTGGGTTTTGATGATCCAACCAGTTTCAACGACCCGGCCAAGTCAGTAAATGCTTGGAAACTTAAAATGTCAATAGTGAGATTTGAACTTCTAACAAGTTAATTAACTAAATTAGCCTATTACCACTAACCCATCTTGTTACTTGTGCTTAGCTATGCATCTTTTATGTATATATTTTATTAAATGCATGCACATTCGCGTAATATGCTTATAGTGAGATATTGATCTTACCACAATAAGCTTCCCAAGTTCCCAACAAAAGATAGCAACTTGAGGAGGTATAGGCCTTGACCAAAACTCTTTGATAGGGAAAACCCCAGAGGAGGAAGAAGAGCAAAGGGATTTGAAGAAAGAAGCACAAGTGAAGGAACCATTTGAGGTTAGAGTCCAGATTCTTTTATCAGGTTTGAGAGGATCCAAACACACAGAGTCTAGAAGAAGTAGAAGATCAGAGACACAAGTTGATTCTTCATCCCTTAAACCTCTACAAAAACCAAAATCCCAATTTAAAGTCAAAGGAATAACTGGAGGGGAAAGGAACCTTGAAATAGGCTTCTTTTTAAAAAGGGAAATAGAATAGAGAGAAGGAAAGCAATCTTTTAGAGGTTGATTACCCACCCAAACATCCTCCCAAAAGATAACAGAGTTTCTAGAGCAGACACCATACCTTACAAACTTCAGGAATTTAGGGAGTGTGTCAAAAATTGCCTTCCATGGTGTTGTGAGCAAAGCCCATCAAGATACCCCAGCATCCCAACCAGTTCCGGAGCAGCCATGGATACTAGCCACCACCACATGCCATAATCTCTCTCTCTCTCTCTCTCTCTCTCTCCAAAGGCCACCTCCAAAGCCATTTGCCTTGTAGAGCTTCAATCTTGCTAACTACATTCCCTAATCCTAAACCCCCTTCTTTCTTGCTTCAGCTCACTATATCCCACCTAACCAAATTGGCTGGTTACTTGGAAAAAGGTGTTCAAAAGGCAAACTTGAACATGATCCATGTAAGCCGGGCATGTATGATATCTATGTGCAACTTGAGAGGAAGTTTTAAGACAACAGTAAGGGTATTTATGTAATTGACAAATATATGTAATCATAGGCATTATTGAAATTTGAATCATTGGTTTAAATAAAAATGAATTGGGCATGATTCTCAAGGTTGATTCACATATTTCCTCTCCATTTGGGAATAGATCACTTATCTCTAGTTCCTCTCTTTCTTGATAATATGAGTGCTATAAAGATTGATACCAATACAGCCTTCCATGAGCATGCACTAAGCACTTAGAGGCCAATTGCCATTCTATTCAAGATAAATTTCTTTCTGGTCACATCACTCTTCCTCATATTTCTTCTACACTCTAGCTGGAAGACCTCTTACTACAAAGCTAGGACACAAGCCAGACATAATTTTCTCATTGGCAAACTGATGATTACTTCTCGGTATCAATTTAAGGAGAGTGTAGAGATTCAAAGGGTTGGTTATCAATTTATATTGTATTTTTTTTTTCCAATTTATAGTGCTTAGGAGCATTGTAGTACTATACATTTGTATATATTGTATCATGACTGTACAGCTCTATACTTGTATTTGTACAAGAAGGGCATAATTGTCCTTTTTCATTCATTTAATTCATTAATATATATAAGCTATTTCCGGGTCATGGTCAGAGTCTGACACACCCATTTCAAATCTGTTTTCCTTCTTATTCAAACTTCCTTTGACAATTGCTTGGGCCTTGGTGTAAAGGTAAAAATCTCAGGTTGGCAAGCATGAGAAAATGGGTTTGGGTTCAAGCCTGAGAGTGGCTACTTCGTGTAAAAGAAAATGCCAAAGGTGAGGACTGTCTCCACTCCATATAGGAGTACACCTCAACAAGTACTGGTAGACATAAGCACTAGGACAGAACCTAGCTTACACAAGCCTAACACCTACCACTCCCAAACTCCAAACAAGTGTTGGCTAACTAGGCACTGGGCCTAGGAAACTATGAAAACATAATTAAAAATACTAACATGGAATAGAAACACCTTTCAATTTAACCATGGGATCAAACTCAACTAGACAACTTGCTTGTAGAAAGAAAGCAAAAAAGTTAGTAACAAAATTTTTCCCTACATGATAAACCAACCCATGGACCAATATGGCTGTACATAGACCTGGCAAAAAGTTGACCCTGACCTGAGCCAACCCACCCCACCCAAAAATAAAAAATAAAAAAAAAAACTGGGTTGGGTCATGGGTCAACCCGCTAACCCAATTATCAGGTATAATTGGGACTATTTATGTATTGTTCGAAGTTTTCATTCTTTAATCTTTACTATTTATCGTTTACTCTTTGAATTTTTGAACTTTCAAGTGTTTTTATTTTATGTTTGGAATTTTAAGGTTAATTTATTTAATTTTGGCATTTTTCATGTATTTTTTCTTCATTTTTTTTAAATTCCAGTTATTTCTAGGACTGACCCGAACTGACCCAAGTTAGGGTTAGGGTTTAGCATTTGCTAACCCAACCTAAATCAACCTGAAGCGTCTTGACCCAACCCGAACCCGACCCACCCAACCCAATTGCTAGGTTATGGAGTCTCTTAATAATCTTATTAATCAATTAATAGAAACACAGCAGCTTCCAAAGCTCACCTTACGCTTCGCAGCATGAAACCAAGCATCAGCACACAATGCATACATATCTGCACCAGTAAAATTGGGTGGGCACTTTTTTGCAATAGAATGCAGAGATACATCTTCATGGAGCTTAAATTTTCGTGTTAGTGCAGCCAGGACTCTACAAAATCCGAAAGCAGTTGATTCAGGCAGAAGAATAAAAGGTAGAAAGAATGATGAATATTGTAACAGAGTGCAAATGAAATTAGAAACAAACCGCTCCCGGTAAGATGTATCAGCATTTACTCCAACATATAGTAGCTTGTCAAATCGACCAGGCCGTAGAAGTGCTGGGTCTATGAGATCGGGTCTGTTGCTTGCACCTATAATAAACAAATCCTGGAAATCCAGAAGACAAGGATGCAAATGGCATATGAGAAGTAAAATAAGGAAACCAAATAGTGAAGGATGTTCAAGTAACAGAGGAATATATCAGATTGAGCAATATAGAAAAACCTGTGTGGAGTCATTTAGGCCATCAATCTCTGCCAGCATCTAAAACAAAGGACAAACAATCAACCATTTCACGAGGAAAGAAGGAAGAAATCTGTATTAAGAGTATCACTACAAAAGCATTGTTACCTGAGAAACCACTCTGTCCATTACACCCCCTGAATCTCCAGAGGCTCCCCGAGCTGGAGCAAGAGAATCAAGTTCATCAAAGAAAATAACACAGGGACGTGCTGATCTTGCCTGCGAAGGATGGAAGTCACTATCACAAAAAGGTGACTGGAAGAGAACTGTGTCCCAAAAAGCTATGATATATACCTTTTGAAAAATGTCTCGAACATTTTTTTCTGATTCTCCTATGTACATATTGATCAACTCAGGGCCCTTTACACTAAGGAAATTCAAGGAGCACTCTGTTGCAACAGCCTTTGCCAATAAGGTCTGAAAAATCCAGTGAATTGACAAAGAATGTAAGTTATAAATAAAAAAGATAAAAGATGGAGAGTAATTTGGGTACATTTCATCTTTTATGAACAGCGCACGTCACAAAGAAACTATTGATAATGATAAAAGTCAAAAAATGGGTGTTTTTGTCTTTTAAAGCACATACTTTTTGACCAATGATTAGGGGTGTGCCCTCTTTATCATACATGGTATGTGCCCAGTAAGTCCCTTAATGAAAAATAGCTTGCAGCAGTTCCCTATTAGTAAGAAAAAGTATCTAAATGGAACTTACCTTTCCTGTACCAGGAGGACCATAGAGAAGCACACCCGAACGCTTACGCAATCCAGATGAAAATAAATCCTTGTGTAGGAGTGGTAACTGCAAACATCACCAACAAACACAGAAAATACTAATGGCAGTAATACGAGCACATATTTGTTTAGAATTATCATGTTCACCTGGGGGTCATGCCTCTTAATGCAGTACAATGCCAAACAAGAAGGGATTCTGCACCTTGTCATATACAGAAAAGGGGCAGGAGTAGAGATTTAATTTGCATTATGTAGAGATTGAAGGAAATTTTAAAGTGGTAATCAGCTGGTTGAGGAACAACTCAAAAGGAACTTGGCAGCACAGATACACTTCAAGAAAGGTTTTTTGTCTTGCAAGAGAAGTGGGAGCAGTTTGGTCATGGACTCGTAGAGCAGCAAAACCAGTTTTTTTTTTTTTTTTTGATAATTGAACGAATATTTTATTAAGTGAAGAAGGAGAGGTGCAAGATGCGGCTTACATTTAAAATAACAGCTTTTCAAAGCTTAAGCAATCACAAAGCAGCCCAAAATAACTGTTCCTGATTAGTCCCTTATTTAGCAAAATAGTCTGCCCTTACATTTGCCAATTTGCTCACCCATTGAAATCTAACTACCATATCCCCTGTAAGCCAAGTAACTTTTTTTAGAAGATCCTTTTAACACCAAATAACAGAATCCAGATCCCAAAGCCACCCCACAACCACCTTAGGATCTCCTTCAATTAATAGGTTCTCTACCCCAAGTAGGTTAGCAATCTGGATTCCTTGTATGGCAGCTAGTAACTCAGCCCTAGTCGAATCTCCTATTCCCACTGGTCCTGAAAAGAAAGAAATGATATTGCTGCCCTCATTTCTCAAAACCCCTCCTATACCTGAAGTTCCTTGATTACCCTGACTACATCCATCAAAGTTCAATTTCACAACACTTTCTGGAGGAGGAGACCTATCTATTTTAATGTTGTTTTTCTTCGATGAAGAATTAGCCACAACTGACCAACTCCTCCAAAGATCATCAAAGGAGAAGGGTTAAAGGAATTTAAAGTTTTCAGCCAATGTATTGCCCTTGTCAAGATACACTCCTTAACTTCTAAGAGGCTTCTTTCTTTTTCTTGGAAAATTCTGGAATTCCTTTCCTCCCAAATAGTCCACAAAAGAGCAGCTCCAATGCATTCCACATGACTTTCCCTCTTCTTGTAGGCCACACAAAAGTAGACGGATCAAACATCTTTATTTCAGCTGGATGGTTCCATCTGCGCCCAAACAAATCAAATATCCAATTTCAAATAGCTACGGAGGAACAAGAAATCAGTAAGTGGTAGCAATTCTCACTCTAGGTTTTGCAAAAAAATACACTAATTAGAGGATAAGCACATCTTTTCTTTTGCAGGTTATCCAAAGTATTAATCATCCCATAGTACACTTCCCAGCAAACACACAACAATTTTAGGGGGAACATGCCTCATCCAGACTTATTTGACTGAGAAAACCCAAGGAGCTGAGCTAGAACAAAGGGATCTGAAAAAAGAGGCACAAGAAAAGGAGCCTTTTGGAACCAAAGACCAAATCCTTCTATCTAGCTTAATAGGATCCAAACACATAGAACCAAGGGAAAGTAAAAGATTAGAAACATGGACAAGCTCATCATCCCTCAACCCCTTACGGAAACCAAAATCCCAATCAAGGTTCAAAATTTCAATATGATACACACGATATGGGGCATACCGTATCATATCTTTTGGGTCCCAATACGCCTGTTTACAGGTGTTTCGGGATCCCACTCTTTTATAATAAAAAATACCAGTATTTAACTCCCCAAAAACGAAAATTTGAAAAAAAAAACTAAAAAAATATTTTTCAAGCCGGCCCCCGGACGGGCTTGAACAAGTATATGGGCCCGCGGTCTTAACCTCAGGCCAAAAAGCCCGGCCCTCAATAAATTCGAGCCGGGCTCGGGATTTGCCAAAATAGCCCGGCCCTGCCCGACCTATACTTAAACCTAAATAAAACCCCTAGTTGAGGCATCTATGTCTCTTCCCATTCTTCTTTTCAGCTGACCCTTCATCTCCAGTCTCCAGTTCTCCACATCCTCCACACTGCACTGTTCTCATCCTCACACTCTCAGGCAGCCACAACCGGCGAGGCGGCGAACGTTCACCGGCGCAACAACTCCGGCGGCGGCGGTGAGCTCTCTCTCTCTCTCTCTCTCTTTCTTTCTCAGACGCGAACTGATCAAGTGATCATTGTCAAAATCGCAGGTCAAGCTCGCAGCTCACAGACCACAATCACCGATTCACCGCGAACTCTCCGGCAAATACAATCACTGGCGGCGGTGGTGAGTCCTCTTTAGTGTTTACTGTTTTTATAACAGTTGGTCCTACTGTTTCTGAACAAGGCAGAACCGCAGAAGTGGCTTGTTTCTTCTCTCTGTCTAGGAACAATTAATATACAGAAATAATCAAATAATATTAAACAACAAAATAAGAGAAATGTTGTAACT